AAAAAACTGGTCAGCGCCAAACTCAAGCGCAACTCCAGGGCAATTTTAGTCAGTATAGAGTTGTGGACTCCTATAAAAGTCCTCATTACGATAAAAGGCAAGTTGCATCCAACGCCCAGCAGGGAAGATCCAACCAACGATTCAATAGTGGCAGGACTCGGGCCTAGGGCCCGGAGCCCATGGATGCAGATCCTTCTTCTTCCAAACTCAGACTGCCCACTGCTTTTTGGGTCTGGTGGGCGCATCACAATTTCGCGAGGAAAACAAACACGTCAGAGCGCACCAGAGGATAGACACACTACAGCAAGGGGACAACCAGACCGAGACGGCCTACAATGGGACTGCGGCCGAAGCTGTCGCTGAGAATTAGAGTACGAGAGTGACTCAGTAACTTTTGTAGGGGAAGGTCCCTGCTGGCCTTCTTTTGGCGGGTTTTAAAATATGAACCGCCCAGAAGATAATTATAGTGCGGAGACAACGCCCGCTGTAATGTTCATCGGCAAAAGTATTGAGTGCAGAGACAACGCCCGGTCAAAAAAGACAAATAAAACCGGAAAGTAGTAAAGTTAGATCGAAAGATCTGAAATGTGAAACAAATGAGTGCGGGGACAAAGCCCGCTCAACAAAGTTAAAGAAAAAATTCGGTCAACGTGTAAAAACCAAAAAAAAAAACAAGAAGTGAAACAAAATAATCTGAAACAAATGAGAGCGGAGAGAACGCCCTCTCAAAGATTGGCAACGTGTAAAAACAAAGAAAAATCTAGTAATCTCGAGGATCTTTGAGCTTAGAGATAAAGCCCAAAAGCCGAAGAAAAGTACAGGTGGAAGTGATTAAAGTGACGAAAAAAATTAGTCCCTGCAGCCGGTCCACAAATAGATCGCTGCACACGTACCTTAAAAAACAAACCCCCACAAATTTTAGTGGCAGCAAACCAATCCAAAATCCGTTACACCAAAGCGGACGGCTTTGGGCAGCTTTTGGGCTTGTCCGTCGTGCAATTTTATGAAAAGGAAGCTGAGTGAAGAGGTTGAGAAAAAACTCACCCTTCATAAAAACAAAACCATTGTGACCCAAAAAGCCACACAGGCACAGCATGTTAACATAAAGTAGACGCCGTCCGTGTCTTCATCTCAGGCCTCAGACGGAACCTTACAGACGTATTATTTTCAGCTCAACCTCAAGACTTGCCATCGGCCTTGGCTGCGGCTCAAGAAATTTAAGCCAACAACGATAGTCATGCTTTTGCGGCACATTACGCAAGAGCCCCAGAAGACAAAGGTCAGAAACGAATAGCTTACAGACAGAGTCCGACCATTATAAAAAACAAAGAAATCATCCATTTTATATGCGCGACCAGGGCAACCCACTGACAAATTGTCACTAAGGCCTGGACAGGGTCGAAAAAATGCAGGCCCACCAGCCACGGCAACCCTAGCTAACGGTCTTTTGGTGACCGTTGGTGCACTCAAGAGGCCGGCTGAATCCCACAGTTTCTCTGACCAGCGCAGGCAAAAGGTTAATCCCCTCGCTCAGGAGGATCCAGACTAATACGAACCACAGTATGAGCAGCTAGCACAGAAGGCACTGGCTGAGATTGATGAGGAAAATAACGCAGGGTACGATAGTGACAAGGTCAATTTTTTTCATCAAAAGAACAGTAGCGGGGAGAACATTAAATTTTATGATAGACACCGGGGCTGCAAAGAACTACATCAAAGCGCTAATCGATCTTCAGCAAATTTTCCGGTTCAGGCCCCATTCATCGTGAAATCACTGCATGGCTTTAATAAAGTCGAGCGACAGTGCTTCCTTACCTTTTTCGGCATAAAAAGCCCGTTTCTCATCTTTCCAGATCTTTCAACCTTCGATGGCATCATAGGAATTGATATATTAACTGAAGCTGGTGCCAATATTAACCTGGGTACTAAAAGATACTACTTTGGTAATGAATCTGAAAAGATCCTGTTCCACAAGTGCCCCTGTGTCAACTGCACAAAAGTGGACGACATCGAGGTCACACCAGCTATAAGAGACGAATCCAAACGAAAAACTGCCCTTTAACACGGCTGTGGTAGCCACTATCAGGACCGAGGATGAATTTACTCAAAAATCTCAAGTGAAGGACTTATTGCGGAACGAAATCAGGAACGACATCTAGGTGTCTGTACAACAACCCCATATGGGTTGTTGGAAAGAAAGAAACCGACGACTCAGGTTCAAACAAAAAACAAAAAAAGCTAAACTCAAAAACCAGAGAAATACCCAATGCCTAGTATCTCCATGATACTTTCGAATCTGGGAAAAGCAAGATACTTTACTACCCTTGATCTGAAATCTGAGCTGTGCCAAATCACTCTAGCTGAACGCGATCATGAGAAGACCTAATTTTCGGTAAATGGAGGGAAATATGAATTTTTCTGTCTGTCATTTCGATCGATGACGTCATTGTATTTTTGAGGAGCGAGGCAGAGCAAGGACATTGACTCAGCAGCCTCCATGACGCAAACATGAAGGTGTCGAAAGAGAAATCCCAATTCTTCAAAGAAAAGTTTGAATTTCTAGGATTTGTCGCGGTTAAAAGAACGAGCCCTGATAAGGTCAAGACCATTCAAGAATTTAGACAACCATCCACCTTGTTTGAGGTGAAATAATTCTTGGTTTTAGCCAGCTACTACCCGTGCTTTATAGAGAACTTTGTTTAGATAGCAAGACCTATCCCCAGCATTTTAAAGGGAGAAAATTGTAAGATCAGCAAACAGCGATCAAAATCCGTTCATGTTCAATTTGACGAGGTACAAAAACAAGCCTTTGACAAGCTGAGGAACATTCAAAGCTATTGATAAGCCTTTGAACTGCTTCAGGAACCAAATAATCCTGGAAGAATCAAGTACCCCTTCAAAGCAGCTTCACCCCCTCTTCTCCGAAAAAACACGTCCCAAAATTTACATTGTCAATTACGATACGCTTCTAGATTCCATCAAGGAAGTAGTAAAGTCTGGGGTCGTTAAATCCGTCCACTGCACCCTGCGAATACTGGCGTTTGTGCAAAATGACCTGGATAAAGCCTTCCCGGCCACAAAATTCCGGTATTGCACGGCGTTGGTGACGGATATCACCAATGAAGGAGAGCGAAGGGAAAAAGTATTCACCGAATATAATCGGGCGCAAGAAAGAATCGCTGCATAAGTAGTAACAAACTGCAGGATATGTCAAAAGGCAAATACACCACTCGACGAACCTGACGGAGTACGAGCAGTACATTCAACAAAAAATAGAGTTGACGGACGTATTCACTCAAACACACATGAGGAAGATACTCGAGACAGATACAAAGCATCTACAGACGCTAACGGCTGCGTTAGGAGTTCGCCACAGACAGACTAGAAGTCTAAATATTCTTGGTACGGCTCTAAAGGTTATCGCAGGTATCATACCCTAGTGAATCACATCCCTACCAACTGCACATTCCTCATTTATTTTGTGGCGGTTGGTCAGTTCATCAAAAGACCTAAAACAAGAACCAAGCGGGGGTGCTCCATCTGGATGGCAGCAATACAAGCTAATCTCGTTCCTGGAATATTTCCGTATCCACAACATGCAGCAGAACATATTGGATAACCACAGTAAGTTAAATAGTTAGCTAGTCAAATAAACTTACGCAATTTGATGTTACTTTGATAATTTGACACTTTACTATAATTCTTAGCACTTTAAATGAACTTAGTTTAATTGGTCGCCGGTGTTTCTTGCAGGTTCCTTGTAGAACATCTGTACTCCGAACCAAGTTTCTGCGCAAGCTTTTGGTACAACGTCTGTACTCTGAGCCGGGTTTCTGCGTAAGCTGCTTCTTGGTTCTCGTCGTCGTCTTTTTATGGGCCCGTATTGTTGGGTCCGCGGGTTTGAAAGTGCACTTCCGCGTCGGGGTGCACTTCGCCGTTCTTGGTGACCGTCGCAAACTTTCGCGGTGTCATCTTTCCGCAGTTGATGAACCCGGAAGACCGCACTTGGCCGATGGTTTGGCCTGGAGTGGGGAAGTCTCCGTGACCTGATGTCTTTGGTCAGCGTTATGGAGTTGGCGCGTGTTGATCGGCGCCTGCGTGCGGAGAGGGGGCGTTGGTTGCGGGGTGTGGTGCGATACGCTCATTATAAGTCGGGGGACGGATTGTATCGAACCCTTTTAGGGTCGTTACAATTCTGACTGATTAACTTTCCTGGCTTTTGTTTTTTTTAGGGCAGATACCTAGCCAAGCATGTCAACCTCGTCAAAGTTATAGTCATCATCATTATTAATTTGCAGCAACATTATTAGTTGGTGCAAGAATATATTTTGGTGCTAAGTCTATTTGCTAAGTCTCCATTTTGAGACAAAAAATACATATTCCGCGAAAATATTATGGACGGACGGTGGCTGGTGCCAGTGTGAATCGAAACTTCACATCTGTCAAAAAATCCCTCCGCTCCCCCGGGATGTGCTCAGGGTTGAAACGTGCGGCTTAAGAACACCCCATACGGATGGTCGAATAACTGGGAAATTTTTGGAACGGCAAAACCGTACGGACCATCCCAGAAATAGATGGTGGATCCTAGTCGGTATGGTATATGGTCGCTTGTGAGAACAGACTATAGAGCGAGATGTAGCATACTCACAAAATATGGAATAGCCCCTGAGGCTACATTGAAAATTAAAATTTGTTTAACACCGTCATTCAGTAAAACATTGAAGCTCCATCTGGAAAAGTCGTTGTGCTCCGGGGGTACTTGTGTTCGCTGCTGACTGGTTTTATTTACATAATCCATGTTTCGTTTTTCACCGTTCCATAATGAAAGCTTTCTTTTCTACGTTAGTTTGACTTATGTGTTTTTAGAGCTAAATCGATCTAAGCTATCTGTGACAACCCTAGGATCAATATGTCTATACGTTTCTTTTCCAATGTGTGTGTGTAATATTTGAATCGGCTTATAAATGGAAACGCAAAAATTTCTATGAAATTTAACTTCTGACCTTTTGATATGTACATTAATAAAATCCGATCATACTAATTTTAGAAAAATGGAATCCTTTAAACAAAATGACGGTAACCGTGACGAGTTAATCATACAACAACAACGGGATATTGAAAAGGAAGTAGGTACAAATTTGCAGAATATATTTTCTATAATCTAATATGATTGAACCACAGATAAGTGATTCGACTCCCTTAGTCGGTGAATTATTACCATTAACGTGTCTTTGGACCGAGTATAATGGCGATGACGTTTTTACTGCAAAAATTCAAGATTTAGCAAAAAAGTATAAGTTTATCAGACGCACTCGCCCTGATGGAAATTGCTTCTTTCGAGCCTTTGCGTACTCATATATGGAGTATTTAATATCAAATAACAGTGCATATAAAGAGTTCCAAAAGTTGGCAGAAGATTCTAAAGATAAGCTTGTTGAGCTCGGCTTTCCTAGTTTTACATTAGAAGACTTTCATGAAACTGTAAGTTTAACTTATTAAATTTAAACTAAATAATCCAATAAATGAAATTTTATGTTTTTAGTTTATGGAAGTTATCAGACGCGTTAGTCCAGATAATCCAGGAGGTTACAATAAAGTTCAAAATGAACTGCACAAAATACTCAATGAGCAGGGTTATTCAGATTACGTGGTTGTTTATTTACGTTTAATAACATCTGGAAAACTGCAGGAAGAGGCAGAGTTTTATCAAAATTTTATTGAGGGTGATTTCACAATTGAAGAGTTTCGTCATCAAGAAGTTGAACCTATGTTCAAAGAATCCGATCATATCCATATAATTGCACTATGTGCAGCTCTTGGCGCTGGTGTACGTGTGGAATACCTGGACAGAGGAGAAGGTTGCATTGTTAAAGCCCATGATTTCCCTGAAGGAACGGAGCCGACGATTTACCTAATATATAGACCTGGTCACTATGATATACTGTATCCAAATTAAGTTGAGCTATATCCTTTTAAATTAAGTCTGTAACATAATGTTAATTTTTTGTTATCGTAGGTTTCAACTAAAATAAAATAAAAAACACTATGCAACAGCCAATAAAACTGTAGCATCAAATCTACTTTTTTTTTATACACTTTTCTGATCAGAATGACATAATTTCGTATAGTGCGCGCGTTAAGCAGTGAAGCAAGGCAAACTCAACTATGTACCATGCCGCATCATTTCGCCGGAGAAGCTACCTTTAACACTTCATCTCGGAAGCAAATTTAATTAAACAAATTAGGAGTTCAAAACTAGACTTACAAAACACAACTTATCTTTTTCAGCACTGTTTTGTATATACATATGTAACCAAAAAAATTTTTTTTTTAAATTTTTGTATTTTTGTTGTTGGTTCTTTTAGTATATATTGACACGTTTTTTGCCAATAATTACTACATATGTACCTATGTGCACATATTACTGCAACAGAAGGTAGAAGAAAAAATGGAATATAAAAGAAAATAGTTGTATCCTTATTATTCATTGAATCATAGATGAAGAATATTTTGTATGGTGATAGTACACCACTTGGTTCAAAGGATATTAAACTTATATTTTATATTTAGTTTTTAAAATGAAAGTCATGGTGTAGCTCTTATTCATAGTTTTTAAAATAAACATTAAAAATAATTTTTTATTTTTATTGAAAAAATCAAATGTTTTTAATTCTTATTGAACAGATTTTGTATTTTTGGTGTGTTCCAACCTTCCGTAAAATATTTCCTTCACATTGATTTATTTAGTAAAAATGTATATTCTTAATTCTTATTTGCGGTCCCTGGAGTGGAGCTTTTTATATGTACATATACATACATATGTATTTCGATTTTCAGACTTTTTTTTAGAGTTTGTTGGACATATTCCTCACACCAACGATGTTCTCCTCCCATGTACCCAGCAGTGTAATTATGGCCTCACGGGCTAACAAAATGTTTTATATAATGATTCAATTAGTTTAAAGTATTATATTTAAAGGATTATATTTAAATTTGTATCGTTAAAATGTCATTTTGGATCTGCTATATTTTGTTGTTATTAGTGGTGATAGTTGCGCTGATAGGTAGAACAGTAAAGAAATAATCGAATATTTCAATTAGACTCACCTGCGTTCGAAAAAGACGCAACTTTTTGCCACCAGTCACCAGTAAGCCAACTGAGACATGATGTTTTTCAACACGCACTTTTTTATATATCTCATGCTGTCACTGCATGCCTTTCCCCATAGGGCTAGCTCTGTTTTAAAGTAAGTCAGTAAATAATGCCATAAGGCTAGACGCATGACGCAGCGCTATTATAAACATCCTATCAGGCAGGCTCCGGCTTTCACTTACTTTTGCGTTTGTTTTCAACCAAATTGTTCCGTTTTAGTTTTTAGGTGTTGCAGTTTTCACATATTTGAAAATATACGGCGTGATAAAAATTACTTTTGTTCAGTTGGAGAAATAATAATATTTTTAACATGTAATATAATACCTCACGCCAAAGCACTAGCCACTGCAGTGAGTTCTCCTGATAATGCACTCTCTCCGCAGAGGGCGAAAACAGCGGTGCAATGTCACAATTGTTCCCCAGACAATAAAATTATTCATAATACATATATTTTTACAGACTTGTAACTTTTGTTACCTATAAATAAGAATACATTTTATCAATAAAGTCAGTATCAGAAACAGTACCATAACTGCCTGTCACTCATCTTCCATTGCGATCATCAGAGGTTGTCGACGTGTCTTCAGACCCTCCCTTGCGCACCGTAGGATACCCACTCCGCAGTCTAACTGGTTCAAGTTCTAGTTGCGACGAACAAACTGTAGACGGTTTATGTACCGTATTCCTACACACACACATATATTAACATTTGGTGACCCCGACCTTGGTCATCCTTTCAAACTGTCAGACAAACTACAGTGAAAGGATTTGATCAACAGGACATCATCAATAGCAATTGGCAACAAGCCATACACTTACGGTAGCATCTCCTACCAATTAGTATCACTTTGGCAAATCTGACATATTCAGGCTATCAGCCAACAGAAAAACAGCTATAGAATTCGAATACCACCGAGGCAATACATTTTTTGTTGTTCGTGCGATCAATAGGTAGGAAACAGCACAATTCCCGCCATCCAATATATCACCTGTACTATTACTTTTCTGACCGATAACGGCTGCGATTCGGACCGGATCCAGCTGCAAAGCAAATAAAACACTCCCAACGGGTCAAAAAGTAATAAGTACAAACAGATAGAATGGATACACAAAAGGAGGAGAAAGCTGCCGCTACGATGGCAATGGATGTGCAGCAAGATATTGGCGAGGGAATATCGAGGTGCATTCGGAACTTTAAAAGATATCCCCAAGTAAGAAACAAAAGGCTTCTTACTTTCAAGCCAAAATATCGTCACTCGAAAATTCGTGTAATTTTTTAAACAAAAACGACTCCAAACTTCGCGATATAGACAAAACGGATGAATACGTAAAGTTCCGTGAAGACTTACGTACAACCTGTAAGCAACACATTACGATCTTTACCGAATGCCTGGATAAGCTATCACAGACTACTAGTGCTCGTGGGGAACGTCAAATCGTCTTTAAAGAAAAGCATGAGAATCCTCCAGTAGATCCCAGAGAAAGCGGTCTGATCCAGCAGCCCTCAAAGGATTACAGCAAACTGCTTTCACTATGTCGCCGACAAAAGGCCATAGTAGAGTCCGTTAAACGCAATCTGGAACAACTTTCAGAGGCGGATGGACGCACATCAAATGATTTGATAAAATCACTATGGACTCAAGCACAGGAAGTCCACTTCACAATTCATGAGGAATATGAGGATCCAGTGGAAGGAGGGTATGACATGGAATCCTACCTAACACTGGAAAGTAAGGTCCAAAGAGCATTGGCAAAATCAGCCACACCAAACACGGATAACGTGCATCTTCCACGCATCAGCATCCCAAAGTTTGATGGGGATCTATTAAAATGGACCCAGTTCTTCGATCTGTTCTCATGCATGGTGCATGAGACCAACATGCCTACGGTGAAAAAGATGTGGTATCTTAAAACCACCGTTACCGGCGAGCCAGAAAGATTGATTCGACATATCGATCTAAAGGAAGAAAATTATGAAGCCGCTTGGGAAATACTAGTTGACGCATACAACAATCCCAGAGATGTTTCGAACACGGTACTGAACCGCTTCCTCAATCACCAAAAAATTAATGACGATCCAAAGTCATTAAAAGAATTGTATATAACAACCATAGAATCCCTTGCATCACTAAAGGGATTGGGCATCAATATATCTACATGGGATCCGATATTGATTGCCATTATCAGAAACAAACTGGATGTAACAAATAAGGCCTTGTATGAGCAATCATTGGGAAGCTTAATGGACATTCAGGCGCTGGATACGATGCTTCAGTTCTTGGAGCAAAGAATTCGGGTTCTAGGAACCAGTAAGAAGCCACTAGCATCAAGGAAAGAGCCAAAAGGCACGACATGTGCATCAGCAAACACAGGGAGAACGCGAGCACCCTTATGCATATTCTGCAAGAATGGGCTTGGAACGACTAAATTGGGTACAAAAACAAAAAATGTGCGCTAATTGCTTAAAATTAATCACAACAGCATTGGGCGCAGCTACCGAATCAAGAGCACCGTCGCGACTGTTGGTGCAGCAAGTCACATTAGTTACACTCTACTGGCCACAGCAAAGGTGGCAGTAGAAGCCAACAACGGGCAGGTTGCTAATTTCAGAGCACTGCTATATTCCGGATCACAAATAAACTTGATCTCTGAACGAATAGCATCAATGTTGTCACTTAAACTAAAGGACACAACATTACGGATCGAAGGAATTGGAATAATTGAAGCTTTCGTATTACCACAGATAATAGGTGATCAACCAGCTCAGGCGCTCGATTCAGAGAGCTTAAATGTACCAAGCAAGATCTCACTGGCAGATCCACACTTCCATAAGCCAGGCAAAATCTACATGCTACATTCATTGCTGCTACCAGATCAACAGCAGCTAAGGATCGGAGGCCCGTTGCTACAAAACACAAAACTGGGATGGATTGTGGCAGGAAAAGTTAAGTCTGCCCACAGTTCCTCACCCATTTTGTGCAACGGGAGTTAACGAGCTCATGGAAAGATTCTGGACTCTGGATAATCTATAGACGGAAAAAAAACCACGCACTCTAGTAGAAGCACAGTGCGAAGCTCATTTTATGTCCGGTTTACTGTAAAACTCCCATTTTCCGAACACCCTTCAGCCCTGGAGTCTTTGGAAATTGCAACAAAAAGATACCTAGCGTTGGAGCGCCGCATCCCAACAGAATCTTGGAAGAGTTGTGTGGACTTCATGGAAGAGTATGAAGGACTAGGACATATGAAGATGGTTCCACCATCACAGATTCCTAAAAAGCACTACTACACACCACATCACTGTGTACTCAAACCTGAGAGCACCACCACAAAGCTTCGGGTAGTATTTGATGCCTCAAGCAAGTCAGCAAGTGGGAAATTTTTGAAAGACATTCTTCATGCTGGACCCACTGTTCAGAGCGAACCTATGTGCATTCTGCTACGATTTCGAATTCATCAGTACGTATTTAGCGGACATAGAAAATATCATCAACATTAAAAACCGATTTCTACGTCGACGACTGTCTAACTGGGGCAAACACTATTCCAGAAGCGTGTTCAAGTTCGACAAGAACTAAATAAGATATTGCTACCATCCGGATTAAAATTGCCCAAGTGGTGCTCTAACAATAAGCAATTTCTTCAAGGAATCCCCAAAGAAGACATTGTAAGCGATGTCAAGCTAGGAGAGACACTAGAGCACTGCAGCGTGAAGACTTTGGGTCTCATTTGGATGCCGAAGAAGGCCAAATTGTGTGAACGAACTCATAAGAGCCAGGCTACTGGTATCACCAAATGGATGGCATGCTTACCATTGGCCCAAATATTTGACCCACTAGGACTCTTTGCACCGGTGGTAGTAAAAACAAAAATCTTCATGCAACAGGATTGGGATGACGAACCTTTTTTGGCACC